TTTTAGGAGCAGTAAAGAGTTGCTCCTCCAGCCTGTAATCATCAGCCGTAATGACAAGGAGAAGGTTTTGATCGAAGGCTCCATCAACTCTGTCAGAGTCAGCATCGCTGTCAAGCAGGTGAGTGCAGACCCTGACTTAGACCAGATGTTAGTAATTAACACACTCATGTAAACGCCACAGCTGTTTATAATGCCCATTATTATTTTTAATTAATTAACTAATTTGTTCTAGGCCGATGAGATTGAGAAGATTCTGTGCCATAAGTTCATGCGCTTCATGATGATGAGAGCAGAGAACTTCTTCATCCTGAGGAGGAAACCAGTGGAGGTAAGTGGCCTTGGAAAATGCATCAGTCACACTTAAATGGTTCCTATTAGAGGTGTTGGGCATTTTGTTACCAGTGACAATAATGATAATATTTAAAAATGAAAAAAATGTTTTAAATTCTGCAGCTTTCTACACTCATATTTTATTATAATTCATTTGCCAAAAGAAACCAAAGACAATGTCAAATTTAACCCGCATCGTTATTATTGTTAATATTACTATTATTACTATTATTACTAGTAATGATATTATCATCAGTACATCAGTATTGTTTAGTCAGAGGATTTTAGTCAGTTGGTAGGTGGTTGCTGGGCAACATGGTGCCATTATGTCATTCATAATTTTGTGTATATAAATGAGATGTTAGTATTGTGAAATTAAACCGATGCAATGCCTATAACATGTTATAGGTGCATAAATGCCACAAATGGGTCATTTTGCACATGATAAATGTGCAAAAATACAGAAAATCGTATGATAGGTCATTGCACAGACTGTCCTGTAATTATGAAAGATAATGTTTTCTTAATTTACTGTGAACTTTCCTGTCATTTAATTGTTTAAGTATTTTTATGTAGTATATAAGGGGTGGGCAGTGTTCATCAAGAGGAAAATTAAAAATAAAAACTTTTCTGAACCTTCAAGTGTCATAAACATTATTAAACACAAAAACTTTATATAGTTATGTTGGTAGTGACATATTCTTGAACGTTGTTTTAGGTTAAAATAGCAGCTGCCCTTTTACCTCCAGTGTTTTCCACAAATAAAAGATAAAGTTTAGTTTCAAATAACAGGCTCATTGATTCAAGTATTGAGAGTTATATTCGTTTTTGAACTCAACAGCATTCAGTTCAAGTGAATGTGGTGATGAGATCATCGTTAACGTTATTGTTCTCTTTAATTTCACAGGGCTATGACATTAGCTTTCTCATCACCAATTTCCACACAGAACAGATGTACAAGCATAAGCTAGTGGACTTTGTCATTCATTTCATGGAGGAAATTGACAAGGAGATTAGTGAAATGAAGCTGTCTGTCAACGCCAGGGCTCGCATCGTCGCTGAGGAGTTCCTCAAAAATGTGAGTTTCAGTAATTCTTTCACGTGCAAAACTTTAAATAAAGATGACCAAGAGTTAAAATATGATTTTCATTGCTTTTTGTTCTTCTGTTGCAGTTCTGAGAACGAGGAAACTCGGAAAAATGCATTCCTTTTGCAATCTTGGCCGTCACTGTGGAGCGTTCACATCAGAGGAGACAAACTATGATCAGCCAATAAAAGCTGAGCTACATAAGACGTACAGTAATGATGTACAGGCCAATGAGCTTTTAGCCTTTAAATTTAAATTCCCTCTGTGCTCAGAAATGTTGGCGGTTGTACATAATGAACATTTACGCGCGAAACATTCATTTCTGCCTTGAACATAACGAGTCAGGGCAGGTCCTTAAAAAGAGTTATCAATATTCATGAGCACAGGCTAATATGGATCTTTTTTTCCAGATAATTAAATTTTTTTAAATATATAGACAATATATATACTATATGCATATTAATTTCCTTTATTGTTTTGTTACAACAGACTTCAACCCATGAATGCAATCAATTAGATAATGATTCTTGCTGTAGTTCACAAGTACACAGACGAGTCTGTCGTCGATGAAACAAGAATACATTTGCTGGCAATGAAGACAAATAAAAAAACCCAGTCTGCTTTGTATTTTCTGTGATTTCTGTTCAATCTTTAAACACAACTCCAGTTTTCTTTACAAGAAACATTCAAATTTATTGAGGTCTAACAGCTGAAAACACAAAAGGCATTTTGGGTTATTTTTCCCCCAGTATAGTAATATATAAGCCATTACCCCACAAAAAGTATAATACACATGTTTTTACACACAAATTTAACAAACATGCATCTACAGTTTTCACAGTTTTGTTATACTCTTTTTCATTTGTGAAGGTTGGAGTGATTTAAAATGCTTTAAGTAACAGCCTTTGAACGTTTAGTCTTATATACAAATAGCTTTGTATATAAGATTACAACAATGGAAGTGCTTCATTTTGGATTTTTAGCATATCAGCTTACGTTTTTGAGAAAACACGCTGCATGCATTTAATATCTCAACCCCCCATAATGTTTTTTCAGGAGGGGTGGGTTGAAGGTTAAATCTCTGGAATGATTTCATTTATAACACCAAGAGCAGTCACGGCACGTTGTTCCATTTAGTTAAAAAAAAAAGAGAAAGAAACGTTAACAGCCAAGAAAAGGAAAATACTTAAAAAGCAATTTGATTAGTGTCCTCGATCTTTTTCTGGTGTTGTTTTTTTTCCTTCTCTTTCTTCATATAAAAACACCTTCAGAAACAAACAACGGGCCCATATGGCAGTATACACAATGCCCACTATACAGTAAATATTAAAATAATCATGGAAGACGATGATTAAAGTTAATATTTTTGCACCTTTAACAAGGTCCAAATATTAAAAAAAGAAATCACATCTGCCTTTTGTTGCCCTCCCCCAAAGAGAGTCAAGCTCTTTGCGATTAAAATAAATGTATAAAATGGAGGACATTTAGTGAAAGTGCTTTACAGTGAGAGTGTAAAAAGATGTCTCTGAGACAGGCAAAAAGCTGCCTCATTCAGCAGCTGAGCAGCACCGTGAAGGCTGTTCAGAAATCCTAAAAAAACAGTCAGATGAGGTCTCGGCTGGAACAGGAAGTGGAGGAGTTTAGAAGTGAGCAGGGACTGTCTGCAGAGCGTCTTCAGTGCTGCGCTGCACATTCACATTCTGGAAGAGGGACGAGAGGAAAAAACTGAATTACATTTAGTTTTACATTAATTCACTTGTTCATTAATTACCTGATTTCCATATTCAGTATAAGAATGAGCCATTGTCTCATGAGGTGGTACTAACAGACCTTGTGAGTGCAGCTACAGTGATTCTTAATGATGACATTTAAAAAAAATCTGTTTAAACTGTTGATTTCAAATAATTAAACCACATTCCAGAGGCCTTTAGCGGTACGAAAGTCGAACAGATTTTTAATGTGTGTTAAAAGGGCATTACAGAAGCTAGCATTTAATTGTACAAGTATTGATACACAGCTTAATTACTTATAACTTATTCCGTTTCACACTCGAGCACGACTGATGTCAGATTTGTTAATACTGATATTTGGTTATTTAAAAACCTAATATTCATATACACTGACAGATACTTTTGTAATGTGTAGTTATTTATTCAGCCCGGCTACTCAGATCCGCTGGTTGTTATTTGTGGCCTTCCAAATGTGTGTTGCTAACAGGGAAGCTGCATAGTGCCCTCTGGTGGAGAAACCATGCATAAATTATACCACAGCAACACTCAATTTATATTTTTCATCTCTTATAAACACCAGTGTTAACACATCGCCAAACGGCTAATATCAGCCGTTGATCAAACATCTACCCACACCCCACTGACATGTATGACTTGAAGTCAGTTTTCTGCGTTAAGTGTAATCACTTTGTGTAATTTAGCTTTGACAAAATAAACACTTTGACCAAAAGAGTAGTGTGAGAAACAAATGTATTTATTTTTATCTAGATTTTTATGTGTACAATGTGTAAGACTCAACACAGTTGAGAAGAAATGATGTTACATTCAATTAAATCAGTCTTTTTGTATCCAGCAGCAAGTTAACATTAATGCTGATTTTTTGTAAAACAACTTATTGG